TTGCCTATATACAAATTTATGTCATTTTTATTTTTTAAACAATCGAGTCCTGGTGTTCACTACAGAGGTCATAGCATAACATATGAATAAAATATCTCTTTTTTTTTTCATTTGTTTCTTATGCTCTTAACAATGTGATTACATGAAGAAGAAAAAAAACTTTTGAAAAAAACGTTCTGGGCCTCAGGAGGATATAAAGATAATAGGCTACAATAACAACATAGTGTGTCTTCTGAGTGACGGTCCACCATCAGGCTAAATATAGGCTCTTTAAAGCTACACAAAATTTGTCAATGTTATTGAAATAAACAGACAGCCCACTTCCCTATTTTTCGGATTTTGGAAGATGTGTGATAACAGTTGAAATTGTTGTCGTAAAGGCAAGAGGCAAGAGTTGAAATTGTTGTAGTAAGGATTAACACACCGCTAACCCAAATGTAGACTGTCCCTCTATGTCATCTAGCAGCAGCGGCGCCGCGTCAGACACGTTTCTGGTGTGCAAAGACACAGAAAACGCGACGCAGCTGACACGCAACAGAAACGCCACGCTCACGCCACGCAGCCAGTGTGTCTCCGGCCTAACGAGCGTTGCTTGCTACAACACCTTGTCTTTCTAGAAGAAAATTGTCCAATTTCTACAGTATGTTGGTTCTGATCTACTTCCTAAAGGAAATAAGCCTTTCATTTATTTGTTATTGTTTAGTTCAACTTGATGAGTCACAACACAATGTGATGTATTCATTTCTGTGTTCTACAGAACATAAGCTACATACAAATAATTCTGAAGTTATAACTACACGACACAGAAAGTGCTTTGAGTTGTTGTTACTCAATAAAAGAGTTAAGTAATTCAGCAGCTGACTTTTTTTAATACTGCAAACACTTTGTAGTGTATTTTCGTTTACTGTTGTGAAATGGAAAATCAATAATCGCTAATCGAGAATCGTTAATAATCGAAAATCGACTGTAATCGAATCGGGACTTCAATAATCGTAATCGAATCGAATCGGGAAATCAGACAGATTAACCACCCCTAATACCAACTACCGACATCACGATTGGCCGATCCCGATCATTCAAGCTATCATTCAAGCCATTCAAGTGATTTGTAAGCTCTCTGTTGGCTGTCACTTTTAACCCACACTAAAGGCATTTTTAATGATTTTACGTGATTTCAAGTGGCATACTTAAAAAGTAATGGCTTAGTTTTAATAACTCTGCAAAATAAACAAGGTATCATCAAGTACATGGTCTCATTCGATAAAAAAAAAAAACAGGTTTGTTTTAGTTTTTGATGATCTTCCAGTGCTGTTTCCTCTGTGCGCTCCTTTTCTATGGCGCACGTAAATCAAGACCTTACAATCTGAGCGATCAGACCAATCCAAGCGCGCTCCAGCTGTAAAACAATGTCCGATTGGTATCAACACATCGTCCCTACCCACTATACCCGAAATCCAGTTTCCATTGGTTTAACTTTCAAATGACATTGAAAAACTCTGCGTCATTTTTGCGATTCGCAACATGATCAGATCCCGGATGTCCAATAGCTGTAGCCAAGCAGCATGTCATGTTAGTCCGTAAAGATTTTCTTAAAATCTACGCATCATGTTATGTTGTGTGTGGGCTCATTTAAATCGAGACAAACTGCTCAAATAAAATAAGTGTGATTTACGATGGTTTACTAATGTTTCGCGAAGTTACAAAACAGAATGTGGCACTAAAGCCTAATCTGTATACAGTTTACATGCGCGTCAGCAGATAACTTTTATGGTTTTACCTCATCAAATTGCAAACGGTTTGTGAGATCGGCCAAATTTAGTAAATCCCGATCGAGTCAGAGAATGTGATTATCAGCTGATACCGATCTGCGGCCGATCGATTGGAGCATCCCTAACAGCCAACATTTAAATATTTCTATTTCAAAAACAAGTATAAACATGATTGTCATTAAAATGTTATTAACATGTATGTGTAATTTAAATGTAAATAACCTATTCAAATCAGTTAATTTTAACCTTTAGTATTATTGTAATGTAACTTGGGTTTCCTGTATAGTTCTTTTTTCCCTTGAGAAAATTTCCCATGTATTATACCTGATACATACCCCAAATCATCAATATCAAATTGAACCGAATAGCAAACTTGTGAATCAAAATCGAATTAAATCGTGAAATTTGTGTCGATACCTAGCTATTGGCCAATGCCAATAATCCCAAAATGCCTTGACTGAATGACAAAGTGTGGGCGCACAGAATTAAAATGATTAAGACTTTATAGTTATCATTATACTGTAGTTATGGTGAGAATGGGCCTTAATTCTTCTGCAGAAATAAACCTGTAAGAATCAAAGGGACATGACTGCTTGAGTATTTATCGTCTGTGGAAGGCAGAGGAACAGAACAGAAAGGAAGAGAGATGAGCACCCCTGTAATGATTACAATCACACACACACACCAGTTGCCTTAGAAACCACTGCTGCTGTATAATCTCTACCACAATAATGATACACCTCTGCAACAAGAAGGATTTATAACTCAATTAGAATCTTTCAGCAAGATATTTTAAGGTCAGCCAACAGCAGTGATAACGGTTTGCATAAGTTGATGACTGTAGTTCACATATCATGACTGTGAATGTCTGAATGGGACCTTTAACTGCATGTGCCCGCCTCTATGCAGACCAACCATTAAAAAGCAACCCTATCAGTGCCCTCTCTTCCTTCAAGCTTCACTGCCCTCTGTCCACTCAGCAAGCCAAGACACCTCTGGAAACGAATGACTTCTGTGTCTACATCCTCATCATCCACCCCAGGAATTTTTATCATCACGTCGATCTGATTTCTCCCAGTTAAAATGCAAACCTGAACTGTGGAAAAGCTGGAGAACAAGTCTGAGATCATATTAAAGAGGCAAGATCTTCCACATTGATAGATAGTACTACTACTATCGGTCTGTCATCAGTCTTGAGAGCTGACTCCTGTCAATCAAGCGCTCCATGAACTCAATCCACACTGATAAAGAGGACAGAAGGATGAAGAAACGTGAGAGAGTGAGAGAAAAGAATGAGCGAGGGGAGGAGGGCAGAGGGAAACAGGACCGTGGCTTAGTCAGACAAACGGCTCTCTGTTTGGACTATCACTGAAGTCTCTGTCCTGTTTTTCGCTTTCTCTCTCACCCTCTTTTTCTCCTTCGTGCATTACTCCTCTATCCATCTTGCATTCCACTTCCAGTTCCTATCCAGTTTTTTTTCACTATCTCTCTAGAAATTACCACACACTCTGTTTCTGCTATCTATCCAATCTAATCTCTTTATCAATACATCTGAGGAATGATGGTGTTGTTGAGACATTCATGACATAACCCTCTTCTCCCTCCTCACATTAGTTACACAAGGCATTGTGCAGAATGAATGCGGAGGGCATCTCAGTGCACTAGAACCAGAGCACTCACTGTGCCTGGCACCGCTAGCAAGTCAATGCGCCCACACAATATACCACCCCCAGTCATATGCCACTAAAAACACCTTCACAACACAAGAGAACTTCAAATAGACTGACACATTTTTGGCCTCTATAGAGCGGGGCTGAAGGTGGTTCTAGGGGAAACCGCTATACATTTTGTGTGGATTATTTGATGAACAGAAAGTTCACAAGAACAGCATTTATTTAAAATAAAGATATTTTGTAACAATGTAAAATTAAAGTCTTTACTGTCACTTTTGAGCAATTTATTGCATCCTTCCTGAATAAAAAATATATCTATCTATCTGTATATATATATATATCACATATATATATATATATATATATATATATATACATATACATATATACATATATACATATATATATATAAAATATTTTATTTATAAAAATAAATAAATATATGTTTTACATTTTTAAATTATAATTATTATTTTAATAATTTAAAAATATATATATTTTATCTATAAAAATTAAAAAATATATACATACATCTCATATCAAGTCTACCACCAAACAGCCATTTTATTCTCAATACTAGATAAATGTGAACATACGTTTAAAAAAAATTTATCAAACCAAATATCTCAAACTTTTGACCTATCTCAGATAGCTGCAAAACTGTTTTGAGTCCAGAATAGGGTAAAACATTTTAAGGTGAAGAAACAATAATGCATTCAACACATCAGGTGCAAGATTCATGCAACAGTCTTTATGGCATTCACATGCTGGAATAATAACCCCACTGGTCATCACATAAGACTGCTGATTCACTCAGATTTACTAATGGACCTTCATTATTCTAATTAGGCTATGTCTGATCAGACTTGCCCAGCTGTGAGTTTAACCTAAGAGCTTAAGCCTCAATTTATAAACAACCGTACCACTGACATGTGTGCTATCATCTTAAACCACAGTCAAAGTTCAGGAATGCGTTTAGAATTAGTCACGAGCAAAAGAAATCGTGAAAATTGACGTGATTCAGGCTGTCTGTGTGCAATGATCAAAAGAGAAAATCCTTTACCTGGGTAAACAATGTAAAGAATGGCATAGTGGTTTGACCCTGACCCTTAAAAAATGTCTTGGCTTTTGATGCGAGACATTTTTCAAGAGACCCCCAAAGCAACCTGTGTGGTCTTCTAAGTGCATTTTAAATGGACTCAAAAACTGTTCAGAGCTGCTGGGCGGGCCGAGTAAAAATGAATAAGTGAATAAGTGTTCCTCGTGAAACCTACACCAAAGACAACAGCAGAATAATAATAATAATAATACGCAAAAATAATGTCCTTCCAACCAACCCTAAGGCTATAGATCATTTTTCAACAGATCATCGTCCATCAAAAATCATACCATGCACATCATACCATTTAAGCACTGCTTAAACCGAGTGTAAAGTAACAGTGGTGTCTGATAAAAAGTTACCACAGTCTTTACTGCCCTAGCAACTGTTTTATTTGGCAGAAACCATGGGAACTGTTGTGTTGGCCCCAATACAGTCAGAGAGAATCCCAAATCTTACCTGGATGAAGCAATGGAAAAGTCTCCACCATCCAACAGTCTGATTTTGCAGAAGAGCATCCCGTTCACAAACGGCACAGCCGTGAGCTCCTCCAGGGTGAAGTGTATCTGAAACTTGAACTTCTTCTTTTTTATTAAAAACGCCATATTCTTAGACTGAACTTTAGATGTTTGAAGACAGAGGTAGACGAATACAGGGAAATGAGTTTTTTTTAATCTGGTGCCTGGAAGTTCTTCTCAATGTATGTGCTTTGGTTCAGCATCTCTGAGAGGACTGACGCTGTCCAGATGAACCTGGGGTGTAAAACAGTGGAAAATCATTAGACATTAGAAAGACATTCGACCAAGTAAACATTAGAAACTACATCATAACTTACCTTAAAACCAATACAGGGACAGCACTGTGGGAAGGCTACAGTCTTTGCTGAAAAGCAAACACATTCCCTGGAGAGTTAGTTACCTTGAAGAAATCCATTATATCCAGGTGAAAAGATCCTTGGGACTCCACTGGCAACATTCACATAATCAAGGAAAATGTAGTATGCTCCTTGAGAGCTACTGACAATATTTAGCTAAATGACCATCATCTTTTCTCTCTTTAATCGAAAGTAGTCGCCTGTTGTTTCATGTCGTAAGTGAAAATTTGAATAGAGACAGTTGAATACTTACGTCGATGAGCAGTTTTCATATGGAAGCCAGGGCAGAAATCACTGGACGGAACGATTTAGAAAACGACCCATAATATAATTACTAACCAGATGTAAATCGTATCGAAATCAACTGTTTAGTGTTGAGTCAAAAGGCTGACTGACTGACTGACTGCTCAGGACTGAAACAGTCTCTGGCTCTTTAGTGAACTCCAATAAGCGCCGCCTCCATGGACGCGTGGATTTCCCTAAATACAGCCAGCAGTTCAGGTCACAGAGAGCGTTTGAAACTCCCGTTACATCCACAAGAGCGCAACAGTGCTTCGCCTTCACTGTAAAGCCAAAAGACGCACGATATGTTGAGTTCAGGCGCGTTGTTTAGCTTTGCCATTATGTAGGTTATGATGCTAGCTTTGTAGATACATCAATAATACAATCATTCACCAATAAAACCCTTAAAAGCCAATTAAAGCGGTTTCTTGGGAGGACGAAAACAAACGTTCGTGCTGTCAATGAGAATCACTATCCTAGTGAATAATGAGGATTTCGCGCGCTTGTGTGATTTGCTTAGGTTTTGTTCTAAAATGACTGTAGCGCCATCTCGTGGCCGCATACTTGCTAATGCGTCATTTTGACGTATTGCTCGTAGCCTCCCTATCAAATCAAATATTAAAAGACAGTGGCATACAGAGATAATACAATGTAAATCATTAGATGCTCATGCTAGGCAGTGTGAAAGACTAATTTATACATGAATTATTTAGCTGTTAGCTAATTTACAAACAGTTTTTATCTAGCCTATGTGATTTTGTATTTCAAACTTTTTGTTAAAATTAAATTTATTTAAAAAATGTATTACGACACACTCGGCTGTTCTAGCAGTGGTGAACTTATTATTAACACTACTAACACATATTGAACTTATTATTAACACTACTAACACATATTGGTTTAATATTGCCTTAATGCATCAGAAAGATCCAAGTGTGCTTGCACACACAAGGAATTTACCTTGCTGTTGAAGCTTCTATATATAAGTACGCTATAACAAGAGACACATAATAACATTTAAGAATAAATATATATATATATATATAGGCTGTATAAGAATAAAGTAGGTTTAGTCAGAATAAACATTTACAGATAATGAACTTATTCACAGGATTGTGAATAAAAATATGAATAAATAGGACAAAATTAATTTACAAGGATATTGCACAAAAAAGTGGGGTATTGCACTTGGAAGACATTTAACTGTTCAAACAGGTAAATAGCATGTGTGAAGAAACCATTCCTTTGCCTATGTTCTAGTGCTGATGCGCCGTCTGAACGGCAACAGTTTAAAGGTTGTATATATAGGCTGAAATGTGATGATCTTACCTGCCCTCTTCCTCACTCTGGAAGAGTACAGATCCTAGAGGGTGGGCAGGGGAACACCAATAATCCTCTCAGCAGTCCAGACTGTCCATTGTAGTCTCCTGATGACTGATTTGGTGACTTAACCAAACCAGACAGTTAGATGAACACAGGACAGACTCAATGACTGCAGAGTAGAACTGCATCAGCAGCTCCTGTGGCAGGTTGAACTTCCTCAGCTGGCGAAGCAAGTACAACCTCTGCTGGGCCTTTTTCACAATGTGTCAATGTGATTGTCCCACTATAGGTCCTGAGAGATGGTGGTGCCCAGGTTCCAGGAACCTGAATGACTCCACTGCTGCCACAGCGCTGCTCATGATGGTAAGTGGGGGAGTGCTGTGGTGTTTCTCCTGAAGTCCACGACTCTCCACAACTGTCCCTATTAAACAAGTAAACAACCTGAGAGACAGAATTGAAGATTCAACAGACAGAACAATACCAACAACAACAAAAATGTTTTATGGATGTATAATTATTTAAAACCATATTTTGAGGTTATATGGTGAGGTGTTACATGAAGATTTTGAATGGCCAGCACCTTTGACACCATGGTGAACATTTGTAAAATATGGCTGTATCCAAAACAACCTGCAAGGTCATTACAGGTTAAGAGGAAAGTTTAGCAGAACAATGAAAAATGACAAGATAGCTTTTTTTGTTTCTATAGCTCTCTTACAGGTATTATTTACTGAGTCATAGCTGCATGCATGGCCAAAATAGAAAAGTATGACTGAAAAGTATATTACAGAGGTTTCAGAAGGGGAGACACACTAGCAGTTCTGACTGTGCACAAATAGGAGAGCCAGGAGTTTGGTGGAGACAGGAACAGCCAGGCTCTATGTACCTCGTTCAGTCGCACGCTAAATTATTTCTCTGTCTATATATATAGGTCTACTGGAAGGTAACAAATGTGCAAACATGGCTGAATGGAGTGATTTTATTCCTGAAAAAGAAATTAACTAAGATTTGTTCAAATTGTTCAAATACACAGATTCGGTCATGAATTAAACTTTTGGTCTCTTTGTTACTGGTCAGTTTACTTCTTCACAGTTACATCATTGCCATAGATATTTAATGCAAATGCAACATTGTATGCATCAGGTTCTGAAGTTTATCATGGCTTTCAAGATGCTTGTATCACAATTTGCTTTTGGTAAAGTCTGCCAGATTTGATACAATACTTCAACTCTTGTGGCTGAACCGGCCTTCATTATTAGAAGACACACTGTACAAAATACTTTAAAAGTTATACAATATTCAAAAAAATTAAAGTCAAGTTAATGCAATTTAAGTTGAAATGACTTAAACATCCAAGTTGATTGTACTTAGAAATTTAAGGCAGAAACTTTTTTACAGTGCACTGAGTGCAGTATTAATAATCCGCATTCCGCAGACACAAAGCTATTATTATTAACTTATTGGTGTGTTTCCCCAGTATAAAAAGCTAATGGCACTTTAGGAAAATGTCTTTAAAGGAAATTCAAATCCTAATTTAAACAGCAGAAAACGGCATTCTATGATTTGCCCAGCAGGCGTCTCTCTTAAATATTTTTTTATCACTAGCCTGTGATAGGATTCTGAGTGATGACGGGTAAATGTAGGTATTTGCCCACTGGAATATTTAAAAGTAGGGTTCCAGGGTCAAATATAACAGCATGTTAATACACACAAGCATAAAATTACAAATCTGCATTTGCTAGATAAAAAATTCACAATAATTACAAGTAATTCTAATAATAATAGTGACAAGTAAACAAAAGTGATTGGTAACTGCATGTGTCCATCACTCACATCATTGGCCCCTCCCTTACCACTTCAAAGGCCCCTCCCCTTTCATTCCGTTACTCATTTCCGGTCGAACACGAGACTCCGCCCGCCTGCCGCCTTACCGGCATTTTCGTTGCATCAGCTGTCATCCAGACCGCCAATTCAAACCGGATAACCTTTAGAAATTCACAAACTAAGGGATTTATATCCGGAAAGAGATTCAGAGCAATGTATATGCCAGAGTAAGCCGTTTTGTCTGCGCTTTTTGACATTCTAAAACCCGGAGTATCGTTGGGACATTCTTCCAGCTCATCACTATGACCCGGAGCCCTGAATTGGGCGATCAATTTTGAACCTTACTCCAAAACATATCAAACCAATTGTTGAAGTAAAGAGGCTCACGTGGAATAGATAACCCTTAGACGTATTTGGAAGCTTATCTCAGTGCACATCTGTCACGCATCTTGACTGAAAACGATCGGGTAACCAGCTACAGGCTCACGCTCCCCGTACGCTCACACAGAGACTCTACGTGACACTGTCTGGAGTTCAGCCCGTGTGAAATGCATCAGCGTGGCTCTTTCGTCTCTCCGTTGCTCAGCGGAGTTTTCTGCCAGTGCCGCTCGGAGGAGTATCAGGGCTCGGATCCCGGAGGTGGTGGCCAGACTGTGGGCTCCACACTGGCTGCAACATCGCTCTCAGACCACGGATATGATGAGTCCTGCGACTCCCCGCATCATTGCCCGTGTCCGGTGTGCGGGGGACCCGAGCAGGAGCACCGACTCAAGGTGCTCTTCCAGATCCTGGATGTCAACAGAGACGGAGGAATCTGTGTAAACGACCTGACCATCGGACTGAAAAAGCTGGGCGTCCATCGCACTGAACATGAACTTATGGTGAGTGACTTTATCTCCTTTATATTCAACACGATTGAATTATTGAATTAAATGATGGAATTGTATGATGGGTTTATAGGTCAAATTACACACATTGAGAGGATAGGCTTAGGAAAGAGGTTACTTCATCCAAAAATGAAAATGATCCCATGATTTAATAGGTGTATATGACTTTCTTCTTTCTGCCAAACACAATCAGAGTTATATTAAAACATAACCTGGCTCTTCCAAGCTTTATAATGGGAGTGAGTGGTAGCATAGATTTTGAAACCCAAAAAAGCGGATCCATCTATCATAAAATAAATCCATATGGCTCCAGGGGGTTAATAAAGACCTTCTGAAGCGAAGTGATGTATTTTTGTTTACAACTTTATAAACTATAATCACTGGCTTCCAGTAACGGCTGTAGGTAAGTCGAGTTCCAGAGTGGCCTCTGACCCGACGCATGATGTATTGATGAACACGGAAGTGCAGAGGATAGAGCAAAATAAAACACCACGAATTAGAAGTCTAAAATGAGAATTTTTAAAGAGAAATGTTTAAGGATTTCGATATAAGAGAAGCTTGAGTCTGTTGCCCAGCCCTATTTGTTTAAACCACAAGAGTTGTCTACTCTCACCTAAGCTTACACTACTCCTACATCTTTTGTCATACGTCGGGTCAGAGGTCACTCTAATGCCAGAACTCGACTTGCGTATGGCCGTTACTGGAAGCCCAAGCCAAGTGATGTTAAAACTAGCACCATTCATTTCATTCACTCCCATTATAAAGCTTGGAAGAGCTAGGATATGGCTGAAAGAAGAAAGTCATATACACCTATGGCTTAAGGGGGAACTAACCCTTTAATATAACACATTTTGTTTATAAATTATTATTTATTAAAACCCAGAACAGAAGTTTTGTACTTCCAGACCATTAGATCCTTACTTTCACAGCCCTCTTGTGAGGCTGCTCACTAAACCAGCAGATTTGAGTGATATTTGCTTAATACAGTGCCACAAAAGACAGCTGTGCCTTTCCTTTCTCTCCACTGTGTGAAGAGGATTGCTATTTTTCCTAGAGAGGATTACACTTGTTTTCAGTGTTTGATGTGGACATATGGCAAAAAAGAACTTTATTGTTAGGTGAACACCAGCAATGCTTAATACATCATGATATGAATTGCAGTTTGTGTAGTTTTGGGGCAGTCGTGTGGGTTTCTGTCCACCCAAAATATACATTTAAGGAGCCATATTTAGTTTAATTTTAGTCAATAAAAGATGTCTTTATCCTTATTGGAACAATAGCTGTCAGACACTGTGAAATTTTCTTTTTTAATAAAAAGATACAAATATGCCCAATTGCCCATACACAGAGACATGTTGTTTTCTACTTAGAGTTCAGTGTAATTTTCACTATCAAGTTTATTAGATATGAATCTAGTCTACAGTGCAATTGAAAAGAGTCTCTTGAGAACGTACAGAGCAACATAATAAGGATAAACGAGTGGTAAAGTTTCACTAGAGTGGTAAGAATACACAGAACCTGCTTTGGGTGATTGTAATCTTTTATAACGCAACATAAATTTGTGGGATGTGACGTGAGAGAAGGCAGAAAATGTTTCACTTTCAGTCCTTCAGGAAATACAATAAGCTATACAACTACTTCATATCAATTAGCCTGAGAGCAGCATGTTGGAAAAGGAGCATCCTGTAGCCTACATCAGGGATTCAGATCTGGGATACTGATCACCTGGAATGTGGCCTGTGTCTGTAGCCGAGTCACGAGACGGGACGGAACCTGCTGTCATTTATGATTTACCACCCGGCAGCTCTCCCTCTTCCTCCCGCTTCTCTCCCTCTGTGATGGGGGAAGTTTGGAGGTTGATTAAGTGACTAAATTTATCATTTACAGAAAGCATAATGTTAAGTCTTTCAGAATAGGAATTGAGGGCAAGTTTCAGAGGTGGTTTACTCATTGGCTTATAATGAAGACAAGCATGTTCTGCATTCCACATTAATGATACTGATCTATGGGTGTGTTTTATAAAGCTTGATGGTTTGAGTGAGACTTGGTTTCCTTAAGGTCAGACTTTTTTTTTTTTTTTTGGGATTCGCAGTCTTGGACAAAAGCCTGGCTGCAGTTTTTTGCGCATCAAGAATTCTTTTGTTTGACAACTAACAAAAGCACTTTGAACAAAACCGAAAGTTCCTCTATAGTGGACCAGCTTAGATTTGTTGGCACTGCTCAAATAGACCAGTAACTGTGTTATTACATGTTTTATTATGAAGGTCAAGAGAGTTTACTGCGTAATTCATAACCTCTCCCACAGATGAATGAGATCTGCTGCTTCAATTATGGAGGGCAAAAATAACTTCCTAGCACTTTAATGATCATGGGTGGATTGCACTTGTGGATTCTTGACTTAATTTGCGTGCTGAATTTGCAGATGTAGTGAGAAAATAAATGCAAATAATACAGCACTAGCCGGATGTAAGAACAGGACCTGGCTCATAGTTTTTCTATTCAAAGACACTCAAAGATAGAGGTTAAAGAAACATAAGAAGCTATAGCCTAGGTCTTTAATTATACGAGTTTTTAAATTAATCTTAAATAGGTTAATGGAGCAGCTCTGTTGTGGCGCAGTATATATAATGTAGACACTTTTTTCACGTTTATCCACGCCTTTATTTTCATTCAGCTTATGGCACAGTAACTGCTTAAGTCAAACAGAACGATGTCAAACCTGCCACATATAGAGCTATCCAGTTCCACCCGCAGAAGAAGAGTCTGATAGAAACCCTGCTAATATTGATCTTCAGTAGCTAATAAAAATTATGCACTTTTATGTTCTGTTTAGATACTTGTGCCTTCTCATGCTTTTTTTCTTTATTTTCAATGTATTTTTGTTTTGTTTTATATTTTTAATTAAGTGCAGTAAAAGCTGGCAGCCACACCTCTCATCACATTCAAAGGTCTGGGTGAATAATTTAGTATCTTTCTGTCGTCACATATTAATAGTTTAGGAGTGCAAGGGCCCCCTGGAGGAAAGGGGGAACCACTACAGTGATTGGGAAAATTATTTATTTACCAGTAACATCACTGACGTGCACCTGAACCTCATATGAAGTCCAGTTTTTTTGTGCATTTCCTCTAATGGCCTATTGAGGACAGGCTTTGTCTCACTTGCTGATTTTATTGTATTTAATAAGTTAGTTCACCCAAAAATGAAAATTCTGTCATTAATTACTCACCGTCATGTCGTTCCAAACCCGTAAGACTTTCGTTCATCTTCGGAACACAAATAAAAATATTTTTAATTCGGCTAAATCTGAGAGCTTTCTGTCCCTCCATTGACAGCTATGCAATTACCACTTTGATGCTTCAAAAAGTTCATAAAGAGCTCATAAAACTAATCCATTTAAATTTAGCTATTTAGTCCAAATTTTCCAAAGAGACACTGTCGCATTATATGATGAACTGATTTAATTTAGGCTTTTAGTCACATATAAACATTCATCAGCTCACACATCAGTTGTGGTAAATGTAAACTCAAGCAAGTTCGCTTCACTTGCACGAACCAATGAGGTTCATTCTCATGTTTTATATGGCACGTTTGAGTTTCCACAAGAAGCGAAACAAACGACATGAGGGTGAGTGATTAATGACAGAATTTTCATTTTTGGGTGAACTAACCCTTTAAATATATATACATAGTTATTAATCATATACATGCATACCATTTGTATCCCAGTGTAATTTGCAAAAAAAGGGAGGTTCCTGAGATCTGAATATTGATCTTAGACCTCCCTGTGAAATAAATTGTGGTGCAGCTGCAGTTTTAGTCTGAACAATAGAAAGAGATTGTGCTCAAATGAGCTGTATTGAAATCCTGCCATTTACAAGTAAAATGAAGGAGGGAAAATTAAAATGTCCTGCTGTGCATGCCCAGAATACATTAAAAAAAAAAGGATTTGGTTTCAACAAGCTGATAAATGAATGAATGAGGTAGATTTGTATAGGTGAGTATTAAAGTGTTAGAAGTGCTTGGAATCACCATGGAGGCGTTACAGGGGAGATCCTGATGATGATAGAAAAAAGAGTCAGCAGAATTTCCTCATTTGCTGGGTGTGTGAGAGATCACTCCATTAAATGGCTGTATTTCATCCTCTGATTGGCTGCCTGTGAATTGTCAGACAGGGGCAGCCAGTGTGGAGCGCTCTGATTGGCTGAGGCACAGCTGCAGTGAGGTTGCAGCTTTTTTCACTGCATCACTTTTTGCCGGCTATAGATGCAGCCAACCTGCAGAAGCTTGTAGACACCAAGGAATACACGCACTTGAAACATGGAATCTTTTATAGTTAAATTGATTGTGAGGATTTCAGATTCTTTTAGTTAAGTTGTCTTTTTTCATGGTTTTGGATACTGTGCTGTGTGTCAAGGTTGTGGAGTGAAGTCACTTGAAGAGTGAATGATTTCTTTTTTTTTTACTTGCATGTTTTTGCAGTCTGCAAAGAACTTTTTTTTTTTTGGAAAGTTTTCTGGACAGTTTGTTTTGGAAAGATGCTCTAGGTTTGAGACGATTTCGGGAGCAGTTATTGAAACTGCATTTCAAAGTTTTGACTTGGTCACTGGGTTACTGTGGAAATTCTGTCGGATATGCCAGTGAGTTTTGGAAATTGTGTGGCAGTGTCCTCATCTGCCCTCATCCTCCTGGCCTCACAAATGACTGCCTAAGCAGTTTCTCTCTATACACTCACATAAAACATCTGTAGACTTAAATTGATAGTTCTTACAAATACCAGCAAGATACAACAAAAACGCACACCACTGCTGGATGTTGTGAACTTGTGATTGATCAAATACACAAACTCATAAGTTCTCAAGAGTAAACAGACTTGGGGCATCTTCATGAAGATGCTTAAGGAACTGTGGTCGTCCCTTTCCCAGTGGTTTCTGGGAGTAACCGCATGCGAGCATGGTGCCACAGGGCCACCTGATGGACTTAAGGAACGAAACGC